TTTGCTCCACAGAGTCTTCCGGAGCCAAAACAGACGGCAGCTTTTTGACAGCGGCACTGTGTCCTGGGGGGGGGGGGGGGGGGGGGGGGGGGGGGGCAGGAGGTGCTCACACTGCTCACGCGTGATTAAACCAGTGCTCTGGCCTGACTGGGAGGAGCCATCCTGATGGGATGCAGGGCTGCAGAATCTCAGACTTACCGAGTTATGTTTCAGGGGACGCCTGTCAATCAGACGGTTGCCACGGTGACAGCCCATACAAGTCGTGTCCAATGCTTACTACCCCCTCCCACTTGCCGCCCCCTCCCACCATTGATTCTGGAGCTCCACAGTCACGAGCTGTGAGAGGCAGCACGATGGAGGCGGGCCGGTGGGCAAGGACTGACGCATGCAAACGGCGACCCCCCCCTCCGGCATGCAGCCCGGGGCCTTACCTTCTTCTGACAAATAGCAGATATCTCTGCTGTAAGGGCGAAGGCACAGAACCATTTCAGCATGATGCAGACACGGTGGGGTATGTGGTGGTCACGTCAGGTCAGGTCAGGTCGGGGGGGGGGGGGTGGTTACATATGTCATCTCCACATGCAGTGACTTCAGTATGGAATGAGAACATTCAGGTTCTGTCAGCACTGGTCTAGGGCGGGGCTCCCCAGTTCTGGTCCTGGTTCCCAGTCTGCAACACGGTCCGTAGATTTCCCAGCTCAAACACACTTTATTCAGCTCACCTGCTAATTGCCAGGTTTAGTAGGTATGTTTGAGCAGGGAAATCGGCAAAGGGTGTCACAGAGCAGCCCCCCGGCACTGGAACTGGGGAATCCTGGTGTAGTGGAACCACGAGGGGGTTGCAGGGGGGAGCCCCGGTTGGAGCAGGAAAAGCTCACCTTGAGGCAGAAGCACATCGATGAGCCATTCCGCGTGGTCCCTGGGAAGGAGGACACACACACACACACACACACACGCGCCCATGTCAGACGCTGATGCGGGACGGACGGCTCTCGCTCTAACAGCACCCCTCCCCCCTCCAGCTGGAGTGTAATTGGACTCGCCCCGCCGGGTGGCTGTCAGCGTGTGACAGGTGCCAGCTGAGTCGGCACACGCACACACACGCGTGGAGACACGCACACACACACACACACGCGTGCTGCCGATGCTCGCAGGTCCCCACTGACAAAGCCAGACTGGTGCTCCTATACCCTCCTGCCTCGTCCCTGGAGGTTCAGGCTGAAAGCGATCACACCATCAATCCCTCACAGTGTGCCTGACCCCCTTTCCCAGTCTGCGGTCTGCTCCACCCCCCCACCCATGATCGATGGAGACGTCTGGGGACAGGAGGCAGGGACGCAGGTGACTGTGCTGCTCGGCACGGGGAGCTGCCCTTAAGTTTGGGTGCCTCTGGTGGACTTGTTACCATGGCGATGTCATTTAGTCAGGGATACTGGCTGGGCGGCGGGTGCTGCGGCCTGATCTGCTTCCGGATGGTTTATAAAAACTCCCCACACACCTGCTCCAGAAAACCGGCCGTGCAGAGCTGCAGGGGAGCTGCTCCGGAACCTACCCTGCGATCCTCTGGCTGCACTCCTCACATATGTACAGAGGGGGGGGCTTGTCTCCCAGGGTGACGGAGAGGGTGGGGTCAATACACATCTGCAAAGAGGAAAAAAAAAATCGTTAAATGGCCTGGGAGATGCATTTATTCAAAGGGGACTAATGTTCCCCATGTTTACAACTTACTAGTCAATCCCATTAACACTTCATAGCATTTGAACCTGATCGCTGCAGCGCCCCCTGCTGGCTGTGTCTGTCCTTCTGCCTCAAAGCGCCAAATCATCAGTGGCTCTCAGCAGAACTGCCGCCCCTAGACCTGCCCCTCCCCCAGGCAGCACCCATCTGCTCAGAGCCATATTTCTGTGGTTAGCCCAGGTCTGCGGGTGGAGTCATTTATGGCCATAGGCGCTGAGGGGTCAGCGCTTCCATTTGGACGGGCCAGTGCGGTAATTGGTGAAACGTGTCCTGCTCATCCGCGGCTGTCAGCTCCCTTACACATAGCAGCATCTGTGAGGCCGGCTGTATTATATCCCCGTGGAAGCATCCTTCTACCCACACTTGGCCGCCATTAATCAAGCTGATTGACAGGCATCGCCATAGCAACACCACGTATGCTTCTGTGGTCTGGCTCAAGCATAAAATACACGTTGTGCTGATGGAGGCCGAGCGTCCCTGCATTCGGTCTGACAAACAGCCAGCGGAGTAGGGCTGGATATGACAAACGGGGAAAGAATATCAGTGCAGCACCCGGCCACACCAGCAGGGGGCGCTCTACCTTGACGGCGGGCTTGTTGATGGCATTGTGGCACTCGATATGCTGACAGTGGATGGGGTTCCAGGCTGCAAACATAGAGGAGAAGAGGGATGTTAGACTCCTGCCTCTCCACTCACTGTGGCCCATGTCACTCTACGTAACGTACTGGGAACCCCCCCTAAGGTTACCTGTGTACTGCAGTCCTCTGTATTCGCTGATGGCTCCTGGGGGCTTGAGGTTGGGCCAGTAATGGAAAAGCATTTGAACAGCTGGGGGCTTGACTTGGGATGGTCCATAGGAGATGACGTAGAGCAGGTCCTGCAATGACATGAGAAGGGTCCTCCTCAGTGGCACTGATGGGACACCCCATCTCTGCGTGTGACCAGCACTGAGGGCCCCGTGAAACCCTTACCTTCCACACTTCCTGTTTGTGCTTCATGAGACACTCCAGCAGCTGACAGTGGTACACTGGCAAGGGAGAGCCAAAGTTTAAAAGTCTACAGAGCCTCAAAGAGGCTGTGCGTGGCCCTTTAAATGTCCACCTCCCACAGATTAGTGGGATTCTTATACAGGAGCTGGGAGCACCTGATTGGCTGAGCTACCTGGGTTTGACGTGTACTGCATGGCTATCATCAGCATGGACGAGGCGGACAAGTTCACGTAGGCCGGGACGCCTCCCTCTTTTCTGGTGGAGCCCACTGGAAGGACAGCGGTGACATGTCAGGAACAGGCCAGAGGGAAGCCATGTGCTGGCCGGGGACAGAAGGTTCTTTAGAAGGTTCATGAGGATGACGGAAAAACAGCAGAGACTCTGCAGAGCTTGTGTAAATGGGGAAATGTGCTGTTACCAGTGGGAAGGAGATGCGCGCTCTCTCTGGGGTACAGTGACTCGCTGGCTGTACTTCAGCTTCTCTCTGAAGCTCCCCCGCCAAGTTCCTCGAACCGGAATGTTCCCCCCAAACCTGGCTCATGGGAGTTTTACTTACACAAAAATGTTCTGAGGGCATATGATCGGGTCAGAGAGATAACCAATCAGCCTGTAGAGGAGGTGGGTCCAAGCAACTAGAAGAGGCGGGACCAAGTCATCTGATTGGATGGTTGCGCCTCCTCTAGTTGCTTGGACCTAGTTCCTCTACAATCTGGTTGGTTATCTCTCTGAACCAATCATTTTTCTTCTGCCGTCAGAACATTGTTGTGTAAGGAAAACTCCCATGAGCCCCCACCTGACGTTCTGTCCTTCTCCATGCTCTCACTGACCTGGTGACCCCCACAGCCGCCAGCCCATACGCATTCCTGTTGTTCAAGTCATAACAAGTCGCATGTGCATCTGCTGGGAAACAGGCGCCGCGACGAGATTGGCTCCCCGAAACTCCCCGCGGTCGGCACCTCCAGGTCATTCTCTCACGCACCGTGGGAATATAGGACTGTACTTATGGCAGATTAAATGTCGGGGCACGGTCGTGTTTACTTAGGAAAATCCTGCGAACAGGCCACGGGCCAGCACGTGCTCTAAAATGTCACCGGGTGGTCTGTCGTCCTTCCGAGTGCCCTGGACCCCCTGTCCCCCCCCCCGTCCCGCCGCCGGTGTGCAGAAGAGAAGGCGAGCAGCACTCACATATGGCCATGGGCAGGAAGGACGTGCTGAGGTACTCGATGACGTCCTTGTGTAGGAATGGGGGGAAGGTGGCCAGTGTGGAGATCATTGTATAGGGCAAAGTGCTGAGAACATCGTCACTGAGAAACGGCAGGAGGCAAGTTGTGGTGTAAAATATGGACTGTCCCAGATCTGCCGGCGGGGAGGAGAAGACAGAGAGCGTCACCGTTTCACTCGGCGGTGCTGGACACTCCCCCCGACTGTTATTTTATTTATTTTAATTCATAATTTATCTGCCCCTGTCGGAGAAGGGACTCTATTCAGGTCAACAGTGCTGTAGACGGAGACCTTCTCATGTGGCAGCTTTGGAATCCACAGCGAGGCTCTTTCACATCAAACAATCAAACATTCATAAAAGCAGCTTCTGCAAAAACGCAA